TCTTTCCCTCACTTAAAGTTGCTGTTCTATTTTACATACAGTAGTCCTTAGAGTCACTGCCAGTTCAGTGACATCTGCGCGTGAAGGAAGTGGCGCCTCAGCCGCATTTCTCTTTGCAGCCTCTGACTGGATCTGAGCTTTCAGAGGCTCAGAGGACACTTCTGTGAAGGAGCTCAGAGCAAGGACTGCAGGGCCAGTCTGGAGCTTGAACCCTAGCTCTGGCTGAGGCCACATGGGAAAGTCCTGGGTTCACATCCGAAATTCTCCCTGCACATACTGGGAATGCACACATGCCCATAATCCTGACAGCAGGGGCTGGGGTGCACTGCAGTGTGAAGATCCTGTGTGGGTGCCGCTCCCTACTGCTCAGGGAAGAAATAAACAAACAAAAACTGCATCATGAGGGCTCTGCCCGGGTGGCTGAGGCAGTAGTGTACTGTTCTGCAATGCTGGCACCTCATGGAAGATGGGGGTTCGGATCGTGGGTTCACCTGAAACGTGTGTGTATTGCAGACTCACGATCGGGCTGACTGACAGGCTGAGGCGGGAGGTGGGAATTGTGGCAGACTAGCAAAGTCTTATGGTGCCTGTCTCTGTCTCTCTCTCATTAAAGAAACTAACTAGATAAAGTTCAAAAACAAAACCCAAAAGATGTGCATCAGAAAAGCAGGGCAAGTTAGTTCTAATAGGTGTTACATAGCACTGGGCCCACACGCGGCATTTTCTTTTGTTACTTGATATCCATGCCTGAGATGTCAAAGCAATTATTCTATCCCAAGAGACACAAGTCCTGGGACCAGCAGATGGAGTAATGGTTCGTCAACTGTGGTTTGAGACCTGAACCCAGCAGCTTGAAACTCATGCTGAGTGCATGTGCATGCCTGCCCAGTATCCAGAGAGAAGAATGGAGGAGAAGGGATTGTGGCATGGTCATTTCCACCCCCACCCCCAGGGGGTGATTTCTTGCTTTCTGTCTCTCTGTCTCTCCGGCGAGTACACGCACCCTATAGCAAAATCCTCTAAAACAAACAAACAAAAAGCCCCAACATTCGAGTATTTCTTGTATCACTATACTTTTACAGAGTAATGCAAAGAGGAAAAAGTTGAAAAATATAGAAGGAAAAATAAATCAGACAACACTGGAGTTAATAAAACATTAAAAATACAAAGAAATAATTTTTTAAAAAAGGGATATATTGTTCTCTGGGAGAAATAATTACTAGACATAGCAGGTTAATGAGAAGTAGGAAGGTTTTACTATATCTGAGTGTTGCGGATAGCTGTTAGGGTTGGGTAAATGGTAAGTACTTATGACCACATCTGGCAAGAAAAATCTTTTGCAGAAATTTCTAAAATGATTTGAATTTGGCGTGTTTGGGGCACTGCTAATGATTTGGTCATTTTCAAGAATACCTTTTCTAGTGCTTCGTAAAGGAAAGACAGGAAAATTAAGAAAGTGTGCCGATCTAATACCTGAAGGTTCTAACAAAAATCAAAAGTATTTAAAGACCAATTAAGGGCTTGTCTCATAGCCTAATGGTTAAGGGAGCTGGACGCCACATGGCCAACCACAACATGAATACAAGCCCAGATGGCTTGAAAAACATACCAGGGGTGTGTGTGTGTGTGGGGGGTGAGTGTGGATGCGTGTGTTCCAAATGCCACAAGATAGAGAAATGGAGAAGAAAGGATTTGGGCATGACCACACCCCACTTGGGAAGGGGTACTTTCTCTCTTTTCCACTACCTGGCAAATGCATATGCCCTCTGATACAATTCTTTAAAAAAAATAAAAAAGACAAGTTAGCTATCTTCTTTATTAAAATAGTGGCAGTCTATAAGGGAGCTGGACGCCACATGGCCAACCACAACATGAATACAAGCCCAGATGGCTTGAAAAACATACCAGGGGTGTGTGTGTGTGTGGGGGGTGAGTGTGGATGCGTGTGTTCCAAATGCCACAAGATAGAGAAATGGAGAAGAAAGGATTTGGGCATGACCACACCCCACTTGGGAGGGGTACTTTCTCTCTTTTCCACTACCTGGCAAATGCATATGCCCTCTGGTACAATTCTTAAAAAAACAAAAAGACAAGTTAGTCATTTTCTTTATTAAAATAGTGGCAATCTACCCTGAAACTGTTACTATGTAAAAATCAATATTGCTGCTAAACCAAACTAATTTATACTTCTTTTCAGATTAAGAATCAAGAGATTTCTAAGCATGAATATATATACACATATATATGTATGTGTATTTATGTATTATGTATATACACACACATATATATAAAGAATTTTTTTAAGAGTCAAAGCTGTTGAAATATTAGAATTTTCAATCACACGAAAATAGTTTCCTGGGCAGAAGTAAAGGGCTAATGGAACATTAAAAAGTTGCTCAAATCGTTAAAAATAATAAAAGATGAGACAAGGTCTTGCTCGGGTATTTTAAAGAATACTGTATACCAATCTAAAATGGGAACATAATGCCATAAAAGGTCACTAAACTGTAGAAAATCCAATTAAAATCAATCAGAATAAAACAGTACATAGTTTCCTGGGCAGAAGTAAAGGGCTAATGGAACATTAAAAAGTTGCTCAAATCGTTAAAAATAATAAAAGATGAGACAAGGTCTTGCTCGGGTATTTTAAAGAATACTGTATACCAATCTAAAATGGGAACATAATGCCATAAAAGGTCACTAAACTGTAGAAAATCCAATTAAAATCAATCAGAATGAAACAGTACAAGATGGGGCCGGCAGGTGGTGTGGTAGTTAAGGATGCTGGACTCCCATATGGCTGACCATGGTTCGAGTCCTGAACCTGGCAGCTTGCTTTCTCACTCCCCCCCCACCACGTCCCTCTCTGTAGAAAATCCAATTAAAATCAATCAGAATGAAACAGTACAAGATGGGGCCGGCAGGTGGTGTGGTAGTTAAGGATGCTGGACTCCCATATGGCTGACCATGGTTCGAGTCCTGAACCTGGCAGCTTGCTTTCTCACTCCCCCCCCACCACGTCCCTCTCTGTGCAAATTAAAAATAAAATAAAATTAAATAAAATAATTCTTTAAAAAAAAATGTAGGGTCAGCAGATGACATGGTGGTTAAGGCACTGGATACTACCACATGGCCGACCACAGTTCAAGTCTCGGGCCTGGTGGCTTGCTTTCATTTCTCTTTCCTTCTCTTTGTGTGTCTTTCTCTAGTAAAATGAAAATGATTGAATGAATAAATTAAGTTAAATACATAATTCTTTTAAAAAAATGCACAAGACAATAGAAAAATGGAGACAGAAAAGAGGAGCATAAGACAGAGTAAAGAGCCCGGTCACTGTACATCTACAATGGTGCTGGGAGCTCGGGGACCAGCTACAAAACAGGCACTTATGCCAGAGCCCAACATGGAGATAAAATCTGTGAACTCGAAAGTTAGGAAATCATTTGATTTTGACTTTCATTGTCAACTAGACTTTGCAGATATAGTAGAGGTGTTAGCAGTTACCACCACGGTATGTTCTACTAAGAGAGTCGTAGTAATTTCCTGAGCTGGACCTCAAATGGAAGATGATAGTTCTCAGAGGAAGAGGGCATTTTGCCCCACATGGTAGGAAAACAGGCCTGAGCATTACAAACTTACACTCCTAGATACACAAGCACACATATAGTCAGAGGCCACCAAAGGTGCCTAGCAATCTGGTAGGCTCATTATTAGAACAAAGTACTATCTGGTTCTTATTAGATCACTTAGGGAAAAATAAACAAATGTCTTCAAAAATGCTAAGTTTCTGGAGAATGTGGAGAGAGGAAATGCTCCAAAGTTGCACCTAGGCTCACAATGAACCCTAAATAAATAACCAGCTACAAAACAGGCACTTATGCCAGAGCCCAACACGGAGATAAAATCTGTGAACTCGAAAGTTAGGAAATCATTTGATTTTGACTTTCATTGTCAACTAGACTTTGCAGATATAGTAGAGGTGTTAGCAGTTACCACCACGGTATGTTCTACTAAGAGAGTCGTAGTAATTTCCTGAGCTGGACCTCAAATGGAAGATGATAGTTCTCAGAGGAAGAGGGCATTTTGCCCCACATGGTAGGAAAACAGGCCTGAGCATTACAAACTTACACTCCTAGATACACAAGCACACATATAGTCAGAGGCCACCAAAGGTGCCTAGCAATCTGGTAGGCTCATTATTAGAACAAAGTACTATCTGGTTCTTATTAGATCACTTAGGGAAAAATAAATGTCTTCAAAAATGCTAAGTTTCTGGAGAATGTGGAGAGAGGAAATGCTCCAAAGTTGCACCTAGGCTCACAATGAACCCTAAATAAATAAATAAATAAATACGAGAAGATAGACATACGAAATTATTAGGCTATAACCGTCATTATATACAACATGACCTTTCAAATGCTGCTGTATCTTTCGGGAGAAACAATTTAAGGACCCTACTGCAGGCAGCACAGTCATGAGATTTAAGAAGTGAAGAAAGAAGAGGGCAAAGCAGATCAGGTCTTCTAATATAAAGGCAAACATGCGAAGGTTAAAAAAAGAATTTATATAGAAAATATGAACTGGAAGCCAAAACACCTGGATTTGGTCGTATAACCTTGGGAAAGCTAAAGCTACTTAACTGCCCAGAGCCCACAGATGCCAAGGTATGAAGGTCAAATAAGGTAACGCAGTTAAAGCAGTTTGGAAATTGTAACACAGGACACAAATATAAGATGATGGTATTATGACTTACCTCTTGCCTTCCAAACAAAAAGACAAGTATATGGTAGCTTCAACTTAAATAACTTTCTTCCTATCAGTTAACAACACAGCTTAGTAGACCTTTTGGGCTCCAGGAAAAAAAAAAAACTAGCAAAAGGGAAATCAACCCTCAATCTCTGGTCTCACCTTTCTAAAGAGAAATTCCTTCACATCTGTTTCATCTTTTTTCTCTGATATTTAAGAGGCCCAACTATTAAAAAGCACTTTTGTACTCTTACCTTTGGAAGCTGTAGGAGCAAAGGGCCGGGGGAGAAAGCATCAGATATTGGAAAGAAATGAAAGAAAGAAAAAGAATCACACATTGTTCTGTTATTGCAGACCCCAGTCACCCAATTCTACCCCACATTTATTAAGCATTCCGATTCAGAGATGGCCCCGTAAGGCAGTGACAGAATCTGTAGTCACTAAACTGAGCTCGTGACCATAATCCCATTATCTCTACAAGTTATACTAACACCAAGCACCTACATGCCACAGTTTTCTTTCCCAACCCTAGTAGCCCCATATTACAAAAATACTACATTTTCTCCTGAATGGGAAAAGCCATCTCTCTTTCACCAACATTCCCTTCCTGCCCTCATCTAAGGAAGAAAATGAGTAGGAAACGTACTTGAAAGCTGTTCCAAGCCCTACACTAGACCTCTGCAGTAAACAAGAGGTACTCACTCTTAGTCTGGGCAGAGAAGGCAAGGGTAAGTTTGGCGAAAAGCTCATTGTTCTCAAAGCGGTCCTCCTTCACCTTTGTCCAGAAGCAGTTCTGGGAAAGGTCCTCAGCCACAAACTGTGGGTACAGGAAAGGTGTTAAACGTCACAGGCTGGGGGCCAGCAGGCGATGTAGCAGTTGGGGCACTGGACTCCCACATGGCTGACCATGGTTCGAGTCCCAGACACGGAGACTTGGAACTCACACTGGGTATACATATGTGCATGCCCTAAATCCCGAGAAGAGAATGGAGAAGGGATTACAGTTTGGCCATAATCACCCCAATAGGGGGTGATTTCTCACTTGCTCTCTATCTCTGGTGAGCGAATGTACCCTATAACAAAAAAATCTCTCTAAAGTGACGAGCTGAAACCTATACTCTGCATCCTAGAAAACTGATTAAGATGCAAAAGAGGTGGCTGGCTGGTTATCAGCGATGTCTTACTGGAGTAGGACCAACCTGAGGCACAGAGAAGAGCATAGCCTTTAGGATTAGGAGATGATACCTTTGGTTTATTTGATTATTCACAAGTTACTCAACAACTAGATTTAGTTACACTACAATACTTTCATACTTCTAACCCTGAATACTGTAGCTTCAAAAGCATTAAGGCTTGGGACCAGCAGACGGCATAATGGTTATGTTGCTGGACTCCCAAGGAATTGACCATGGTTAGAGTCACTCTTCGGTGAGCACACACACCCCATAATCTCTCTCTCTCTCAAAAAAAAAAAAAAAAAGCAGTAAGGTTTATTTCACACCCTCCCTTGCTCTACATTACATTTTCCCTATCGATTTGGGTAAATGTGCCAAATCTGTTTGTTTTATGATAAAATTTTAAATTCCCAAACTCCCTTATTTTAACTTGTTTTCTGGACGCAAGCCTTACTCAGAATCACAAGGGTCTCGAATATCAGAACACAGAACACACTGTGAAACACGGCCTGTGCAACTCACATCCTGGAGAGTCGGGGTACGGGGACCAACCATTAAGTCCTTAACTTTGGAATCACCACAATTATCAGTTTACAGACTGGTGAAGTGACTATCAGATTATGTGTGACTATCATACTCATATCCTCAGAGAAAAGGCAAAAAACTGTGAACAGAAGTCTGACTACTTTTCCTATTTTCCAAAATCTTTTCAAAAGGGACTGGGAAAGTCATGCCCACAAACATTAATAGACCATTTATTCTCCACTGACAGGATTCTCCCTACATCCTGTCCCTGGCACAGTGTCTTTGAGATGTATATTCCAACCCATTACAGTATATTCTTTTGCTTATCTCTTCCCAAGACACAGAACTTCCTTTTCCTTGAGATGTAGATTAAGCCTTTCTTTAACTAATCTCTTCCCAAGACACAGATCTTCCCTTCCAATCACCAACCTAAGAATTGTGTAACTCACCTATAACCTATAAGCACCCCCATTCCACATGTCCCGCCTTTTTGAGCCAGACCAATGGAAAATCTCTTCACTAAATTTTGTCTGTCAATCTCAAAAACAAATAAAAGGAACCCCTCTCTGTGATCACCCTGAGAAAGGCATGTATGCCTCTTCTCCAGGCCTAGGTCACTCATATTTGGCTTGGAAATAAACTGCATTAATTATTAATTATTAATTTTTACAGTTGGTTATTTTTCCATTGACAAAATGTTAAGGATTAGGTTAATTAGGATAAGTTCCGAGTGCTGGGCTCAAAGAACTCTTCGCAGTGATGTCTGGCATGTAGGTGCCTAAAATCTGCTGAATAAACATAAGCATGCATGTAACTGGAAGAAAAATAGGTCTAAGGCATAGGAAGTAAGCCACCCATGCACAAAATGCAAAGTAGGAAGCTGAAGTGGTTTCATAAGATCTACTTATGAAAAAAAGGACAGGAACTCTCACCTTGGACCAGTTGGGCCTCCGGAGCTGCACCTCTGGCTTATAAATCCTTTTAGGGGTTAATCCATATGGCAGAACTGGGGCTGCAGGAACTCCAAATCCAGGAGGCATACTCATTCCAGGTGGAGGTGGAGGAATGCCAGAGCCTCCAGGAATTGGAGGGGGTGGAGGGATTCCAGGACCACCAGGAAGAGGAGGAGGGGGAGGGGGCATTCC